TGCAGAGGTGGATCTGCTGGTGTATTGACTGGAAGCCATCATGCTCTGCGCCATGGGCTGCCTGGGAACGTGTGCTACAGCTTTTCAAAGAAGTGAAATGCATTTGATCGCTCACTGAAGTTGCTTGCCTGAATCCTCATGAGGATAGTCACTTGCTCCACATCATTATTGTGCAGTGCTTTATCACATTGTTATTCCACTCACTCCTCCCCTACAAGGAAAAGTTTATTTTGTTGGGCACAACGGCTTGTTGGCTTCACTTAGGCATGTAGTCCTTTGCATGTGCTCTTTGTAGGTAGCTCAGGAGACATCTCCTTAGTCTCTAAAGCCTCACATTGTGACAACAGGAGCAACCAATAATATAGATGCCTTCTGGTGCTCCACATACACAGAGAAACTGTGTACAACTCTTCACCGTCTGGAATATTGGTAATTAAGACTTCGTTAAGACTCCTAAGCCTCATTCATCAAAACAATATCCAAGATGGCAAAGAATAATGATTAATCAGAGAATTCCTAATTAGGTGTTATATTTCAATTTGCAGACTTAAGTAGTCATTTTTTTAAACACTGGTGAAAGCCTGAGCCAACTCATTTCCTGTGGCAATAACCTTTACATAGCAGAGGATACATGGTAAATGATTATAACTTTGTAAAACTGGTATTATTTTAGCAGCTTTAGAGAGATGGCAAATAATGCTTATTGTGAAGAACAAGTGGTGGTGGAGAAGCTGTTGAAAAGTCACTTAATTACTTGCAAGGGGTATTTTTGAAACTGAGCTGTCTTGCAGGGAAAGCGGAGGTGGAAATCATCAGGTGTAGACACAGAGGGTGTGTTTATTGCTATTTTCAGCTGAACTCGGGACAGCAGCAGTGGGAGCAAAGGCACTGGGATTCCTTAGATGGAAAAATTGGCATTACTGTCGTTCCAAGGAAAGGGTTAACCAGGGAAAAAGCTCTGTGGAGCTGCAGCAACTGTGGGCAGGGAGGAGGAGCAGGGGGTGGACCTCTGGGTGAGGGTGCCAGAGGAGCAGCGGGGCATCCTGGATCCTCGGTCCCAGGAGGAACCTCTCTGGGGGGCTCAACAGCTTCTCCAGAGGAGCTGCATCCATAGAAGAGCTGGCGACGGCGAGGGACCCCGCTGCCACCCGCGTGAGTCGCCCAGCCGCGCTGTGGGGGCTGAGGGGAGGCACTGGTGAGGTGTGGGTGTTTAGGGTGTGGGGTGCTTCCACCGCATCCTGAGCCATCACTGAATGGTGGGGTCTGCACTGTTAGCTGAGGCAGTGAGGACCTACAGGTGAAAAATGTTAAAA